TTCGCGAGTCTCATGTACTAACTTTGGTACCAAAACATTTCAGACATCTTCGGAATCTATTATATGTGGGAGCTGTTCAGAAGAGGAACTCTGGACCATCATAACCGCATTATGGTCTATTCGCTGACCTGGGCCAACGACAAACTATTTTAAAGAGAACAAATGTTAGTGATTCTGTTCTATCTGATCTCTTTATTTTCGTATACCCAACCTAGCGTCATTATTTTTATTTCTTTGCCACACACTCCTGATAAACTAACTTATTGGGAAGCCAGACCACTACACTTCTACACCGCCACCCGAAATCCCAGTGGACTTTCCCCCATCAAACTATGGTCGTTCCAGGCTCAAATATTTACTTACCCCAATTTCCGAGTGGACTTACAGCAGTACGCCAACCGGTAATTGCTTACTCGCCAACTCCTTGTGGTCTCTGTGTGTGTGATGAGTTCGAAAACCCATCTCCCACCTGCGGGAGTTGAGCGCGCGGTTCCCATCTCCTTCCACCACCCCTATTCGCAACCCTCTATCAGACCGATCTCACGCACATCCCTCCTTAGCCTGCACTCTCGTGTGCGTACATCTACGGTCCTAACTAAACCGTCCCCTGACGTTTCACATTCATCAACCATCCCTACGAGCCACTGTTCCCGAGAGAACGCACCTGATTGCGCCAGGACTACATCCCTTTTCCTGAAATTCCTGTGAGGTTTCTGCCACATATTCCGTTCTTGAAGCAGGGGGATGTATTCCTTCATTCGGCGCTTCCAAAACACTTGAGTTAAGTGGTTCACCTGCTGCCAACCTCTTGTATACCTCTCTGTTATACTTTCCGGCACGAGTCCGTGCACCCTGTTGTTGAGAGTGAGCAAGTCATTCTGTGTCAATCCCGGCTTGTCGAGATAGTTGGTTTGACTGGGCACAATACAGCGTCCATTCATTACCCGCTCTGCTTCCGTAAGAAACGTTACTAGTTCTTCATCGTTCACATCCTGCTCATTTACTGTCGACCTTAGTATCCGTCTTGCCGAACGTATGAGACGTTACCATACTCCGCCTCTATGGCTGCTCAACGGCGGAGTGAACTGCCACTCGACATTATACCGCACTAGTTCAGCGCTGATGCGGGTGTGTGAAAGTCGATCTATGGCTCGTTTCAGTTCCATCTCCGCCCCGACGAAATTAGAATCGTTATCACTGATAATCTTTCCTGGCCCCCCTTCGTGCTATAAACGCATCAACGTCCTGATGAAGGAGTCAGAGGATAATGAATAGGCCATTTCAAGGTGCACTGCCCTCATCTGTAAGCAGGTAAACAAACAGCCACACCTTTTCTCAGTCTTTCTTCCATTCTTTACTGTCAGTGGTCCAAAATAGTCACACCCAACTATCTTGAAGGGATGCCAGACTGAATGGATCCTGTCGACCACCAGCGGTGCCATAGCTTGTCGTGAAGCTGTTGTAAGGTTCCTTCGACACGTTCAGCAACTGTGGAGCACCCGCTTAGTCATCGATACTCCCTGAACGACCCAATACCTTTGGCGCAGTTCGGCTAACGTATACGATATTCCACAATGCCCATTCAGCATGTGAGCCTCCTAAACTGTCAACCTGGTGACGTTATGCTTCGGGGGTAGTATGATAGGATGTTTAACAACATGCGGCTACAAAAGGTTATCCAACCTACCTCCTACACACAGCAAACCATCCATCAGTATCGGGCATAAGCGTATTAGTTTGTGGTTGCGTACACTTCGTTCGTCAACCTTGCCGGTGCGTTCTAATTTCAGCATGATTGCTGGGTATACCGTCTTTTGAACCATGCGAATAATATCACGCTCAGCTTGCCTCACTTCTGTGAGTTTCAATCCTCCGGTGTTCAGTGAGGTTTCAGTTGAGCCGCTTGCCATCTTTTTCTGGTATGTTTCAAACCTCGTCAACCATACCACCGATCGTAGAAGTTTAAACCAATCGGAAAACCTCTCCATTAAAAGATGCAACCCAGCTGGTTCCGAAGCAGCGGTCACGTTAACCGGAGCACGTTTCGTCTTCAATTCTATTCCTCCTGGTATGAAATTTGGTTCGTAGCGTGGCCACTGGGCCTCGACGCTTCCAGAAAGGCCGGCCCCTTGAACCAATATCGAAGAGCAGCAAGCCTAGGAAATCTAAATGTGATTGGAGACCCTGTGGAGACTACCGTTCTCTCAACAACGCTACTGTTCCAGACAGGTATCCCATCCCACGATGTCGCAAGTACCCTATGCCATACAAACATCTTCCCCAAACTCGATCTCGTAAGAACATACTACCACATACCCGTAGCCCCGGATGACATTCCCAAAACAGCCATCACAACACCGTTTGGCCTTTTCGAATTCACGCATATGCCCTTTGGTCTTTGAAATGCAGCCCAATTTTTCTGGTATGTTTCAAACCTCGTCAACCATACCACCGATCGTAGAAGTTTAAACCAATCGGAAAACCTCTCCATTAAAAGATGCAACCCAGCTGGTTCCGAAGCAGCGGTCACGTTAACCGGAGCACGTTTCGTCTTCAATTCTATTCCTCCTGGTATGAAATTTGGTTCGTAGCGTGGCCACTGGGCCTCGACGCTTCCAGAAAGGCCGGCCCCTTGAACCAATATCGAAGAGCAGCAAGAGAACTTACTCCTCCAGAGGCTAAGTCTGCCGGATTGTCCCTACTCAATACGTGACGCCAATCACCGGGTGACGACAGCTGATGAATCGTAGAGATTCTGTTCGCCACGAAAGTACTATAGCGAGTGGCAGTGTCCCGTATATAGTGAAGCACTATAGCTGAATCCGTCCAGTAAGTTGTTCTTGTGAACGCAAATCCTGCTACTTTCCGCAGTTCTTTCGCCACCCTTGCGGCTAGTCGCGCGGCATTCTGCTCAAGCCTCGGCACTGTTACAAATTTCAAAGGTGCCACTCTAGACTTGGCATGTACCAGCATGTATGTGAAATTTTCGGGTTCGACGCACCAGCGACAATAGTCAACCACACCATACCCTGCTTCAGAGGCGTCACTGAACACGCGCAAGTCTACATTTGCATCATAAATGTAGA